AAAATTCTCATCTCAACACACTAAAAGCTCCACTCTATTTTAGGAGATTATAAAATTCTGTTGTCATTCCTTCTTTCCATCAATTAGCTATAAAGTTGCACAGATTTTGCAGAAATTTAACTTTCGGGTTGTTTACTCTCCCATCAATAAAATTCCAACTTCTATACTCAAGGACCCCTTCCGGATATGAATTCCTGGGTATTTATAGGATTCCTTGCCAGTGCGGTTTAATTACATGGCCAAACTAAGAGAGCCTTAAAATTTCGCGTCAAAGAACATGAGCATATGTTAGAAAAAAGGAAACACAGAAAGTCTTCTGTTGCTCAACATTGTTGGTCTGAAAATCACACTTTCAATTTTTCTGCTGCCAAAATTATTCAAAAACATCTTCCATTGGAGAATGGATTTTCTAGAGGCATTTCACATTCATAAAAATCTTTCTGTTCTAGTTAACGATCCTAATTCAATCCAAATTTGCCTTCGGCTTTAGAGAAATTATGTTTTAGTTCTGGTTTCGCCAACAGATGCGCCACTTGCTTATTCTTGTCCAGGCTTTCTTATCTTATCTAAACATCATTTCCTATCTTTTTCATTTGCGGTTTTGCAGCTGAAGATGATGGTTCGGTAAAACCATCGAAACTAGTCCTGTGAAAATTTTGTGAATTAACGCTGATTTTTGTTGTTTGACTTCTGAATCAGTATTTATTCGGCGTGTTATTGTGTCTTAATTCCTTCTATAGTTTAAATGCTTTCTGATTCTTAGGTATTTATGTGGTATTAAATAGTAGTGGCAAGCAAAAAAGGGCTGGATATATCGTGAAACAAAACGTGAGTCATCCTAAGCACTTTTGAATTGGGTTTCCATCTTTATATGTAAGGTTATTTTCCCACAAAAATCTCACGGCATCCCTTTCTTCAGGTGACAGAGAAAAATGGAGAAAAGCTTGTTTGAAGTTGGCAGTAAATGCTATGTTATAAGTGCATATTTGTAGTAATAACTCTAACAATGGTGGATTTAAATTAGGACCAGAAGGGAGGTCATTTAAAGCATACTTATTTTTTGAATGGATGGATGCATCAGATATGGCTCGTCAGAGTTTGTCAGGTTGAATAACTGGCTGGTGAGACACATAATAAATTCTCTCTGTTTCTTCAGAGCTTTAATTAATTTCCTGAGCTGAACCCATTTTCAAATGCTAACTGATTGACTGCTGATAATACAGTGGATCATTTCTCAACCTTTAAACCAGTTTATTAAAGCGAGCTTTGGCATTTATGTAATTCGTTTTTAAATTAGATAAATTTTCATTCCTACAGGATTTAACCTTGTATCACTTTTTTAAGATTTGACAGTTATATTAAAATTCTTTAAAATATCATGATCTGTTTTACTACTTTCCTTGTTCAATTCCCAGTGCTTCTAATTACCCAAACTGCTTTATCTGTGTTGAGATTATTTTATCGTCAATAAATAATGTCCATATTTAATAATTCACTGTTAGAATTAGTCTGTTAATAAATGTTCATACTGTCTGTTAATAAATGTCTGAAAATAAATGTTCATACCTTTTTGGGTGTATATCCAGTATTTAATAAAATTCAAATCTTGATATTTACAATTCCTTCGAAATACTTGTCAAATAATCATCAAGCTTTCTCCTTAATCTCCTCCTTTCCTGGTATGTACGATGCACCGAAATGAACAATAGACAATAATGGGACGGTGTATCTAACAAAGTTCTACAATGAATCTAAATGCTGCATCTAAATTTCTATATGTGTGAATCAGTGGTATTTCTATCTAAATCACTGTTCAATTTAGTTTAAAAGATAATTTGTTAGAATACCAAAACAAATTAAACTAATCTAGAATCTATTTAACATCTCATTAACAACAACATTCAAATATCATCAAATAAATTGAAAGCAAGTTCCATGGAACTTGCTTTCAATTTAACATTCTTTAATTGTTGTAATTTAGCATTCTCTAAATCAGTGTGCTTCTGCTGATTTTCGCATTGCTATTCAAGGCAGAAAAAAGTGTCTATTCAAACCAGAACAGAGGAAATGGATATTAAAAAAAAAAAAAAAAAATTCTGAATTATGTATAGTATCACTTCTGGCAAGTCTAAATGGTTGTTCAAAATATCAGCATTATACTTCTTAATTCATAGAAAAAAGTTTTAAGTGTAAATTGTTATTATTAATAATATATTCAGTGTATGTGTGTTTTTATAAAAAATTTGACAAAAAGGTACTTCCTGATTATCCACACTCCTACCAAAAAGTTGGGAACTTAGTAAATGTAGAGATGAACATTTGTTTGGTTATCCTTACATCACAGCTTCCAGCAGCACTTTTTTTTTTTTTTTTTTTTAGCTTTCTTTAGCAAACATGTACTCTTCTTGTACGCTGAGAGTTGTATCTGGGGATAATTCCAATTTTTCTTCACAGAATTTTACTGAGGTACATATTGCTTTGACCAACAATAAATAAAGTGAACAGCTATTATAAACAAGGTATTGCTATCTTCAAACCAGTTACTGACTGAAAAATTGCAAGCAATGTCAATATTCAATTTTCCTAAAGATAAGTTGTTTAAGAAGTACAATCTCATGAACTGGGAATTGTTTATTCTCTGTTGTTAAGCAAAATGTCAGCTGGCAAACTCCATGGTCCCATTATGATTTGTTATGAGAAAAACAAATGTACTCAATGCAAAAATAAATATTACCATATTTGACGGCATATAAGACGCACCCTTATTTAGAAGGCCACACACATGTAGATGTAGAAAAAGTTATGTGTGTCTAGACCTTTATCCGGGCTAAAAATAGCATTCAGTATTGAAAGTTAACCTGTGTCCTTCACGTATAAGACGCAGGTAACTTTTTTTGAGACCAAATTTAGGAAAAAAAGTGCGTCTTATATGCCGTCAAATACTGTAATCAGAAAAATTACAATTGAATTTCAAAATAGCAAATCCATATGTACTCAAACTTATGTATTTAGAGATGGCGGATTCATTTTAATGAATGAATGAATGATCAATGCTCTGGTGAAAATCAAACGGCAGTTCTTTAACAGTTTCCCCGAGAGCTGATGTTGGGAAAAGTGCCAAAAAATTTTATTCCTCTTAATGTAAAGAATAGCATTCTTTCTTTTTATTATTTGCTGGAAATGTCTGTGACCTATTTTTTTTATGTGTGCATATATGTGTGCTTTTGGTTTGCTTCTATTCCATCTAGTATTTAAGCAACAAAGCTTTAAATAAACTCACGCATCTTGGCAAAACCGACCACCCTTGTTTGCAAATGGATGGAGGTATTTTTTTCATCTAGCAGTGAAAGGATCTGTTTACAGTATGTAGGTTATAGGAACTAGTTCCTCGTATTCCGAGCCGTCGGCACCGTGGCACATGTCACAGAAGTCTGGGTCCTTCGAGTTCTCATTATTCACTCTTTCATCGCTCCTGCTATAGCCACAGATCTGATTCCTAAGGAGCCTTCATTATTTGGTCATTTCATTGCTTATGCTTTAACCACAAATCTGGCTCCTGCGGAGTTTTAATGGTTTGCTCTTTTCGCTTTCTCAAAGCTGTTCCTTTGAGTTTCATTTTAATTCTTTGAATACTGTGCTATAACATAGCTGTCTATATTAGGTAGTAATCTTTTTATACAATATTACTCTGATACTATGTAAAATAATAAATTTTATTTTTATTTATTTACTTATTTTACTAACATCTTATCAAGAGCAGTGAATTTCTCTTAAATCACTTGCGCTGCGATTAAACTTAATGGTTGCGGTGCCGTTCGCTACAATTAAACAAGCGGTAAAGTGTCTCATTTACACCACTCCATGTCTGCGAGTGCAATCCAGAGCTGTAACTCAAATAAACAATCTCGTTTTTAGGCAACGTGTGCACCACATTATTTTCATTTTTGCGCACGGTTTGAGACACAAGTGGTTAATCTTCTTGAGAATTTAGTATAAGCATAAATTTTCTCTATCTAATGTATTTTTTCCAGTTTGCAGAACAAAATGTGGTACCTATCAAATTAAAGAACCTTAAGTGATATTTAGTATCATTTTGTCAAATTAGATAAAAAAAAAGGAAAATGCCAGTATTGTCGGCAGGCAATTTCCTGTTCTTTGGGATCTGCTTCAATCTAAAAATTTATTTTTATGCTCTTCTTTGTAATAGCAACTAAATATAAATTATAGTAATAAAATAATGTAATTTTTATCGAAAGTGAGTTTAGTTTTCATTATTTTTTAACGTTTTGTGTTTTTTATTCCAGAATTTTACTGTATTTTATGTAGAAAGTTTTTTTTTTTTTTTAAAAGAAATCTCAAAACTGCACTAGAAAGAAATCAGTCCAGTGAGTGAGCAGTTTGATTGGTTTAACTCCAATGATCCCACTCCTTGTTCAATTCATTCTACTTTCCCCCATCTTTATACACGGCTCTTGATCCACACCCATTCTGAGCACATTTATAAAAGTCATAAAGTCATTGTTAGTACGTGGTGAATCATTAAAAAGAACTGATTGACTTCAGTGAGTGAATGATTCCAATCTGATCTCTTAAAAAGCGGCTTTGCCCTTCTCTATTATACATACCTGGGTTATTACATAAATACTTTTTGGTGACATATTGCCTCTTGGTATTCATGACTTTGTTTTGAGAATGTGGATAATCAGAAAAAAAAAAAAAAAATTCTTATTTTTAAGAACTATACCAGTAAATGTAGTATTCTTTCATTTTCATTTTTCTTTCATTCCTTTTTGCAAATACAGTTAGCAAATAATATGAAAGAGAAAAATAGTGAATATTTTGTTTGTGTGCATTTGGCATTTATTTAAGAGTTATTAAAAGTTCTTATTTTCATATCTAAAATATTTAGCTTCCTAGTTTACAAGCTGTTAAAAAATGGTTTTGTATATTTATTTTACAGATTAATGCTGCAATATTAAATCTTGTTTAAAATATTTCAGGCACTTTATCTGTGGTGTATCTGATGATCTTTGTAATTGTGAAAGGAGCTAAGTGGGGACTTCATTTTAATACTGTAGATCCTTCTTCTGTAGATTATGTAAAATGTAAGAACATTTCTGCATTATAGTTAAAAAGTGACTTATTTTCCAGGGATTTTTAATTTATCATTTTATTTATATATTTTAATTGGTTATTAACTCAGAGTTATATCTTAATTTTGTGTTGAAACAATTAAAATGTGTCTCATCATATTTTCCAAATTGTGCAAATTAGTAGTTTTAACTTTGAAACAAACATCTTATTTTAGATTTTTATCGTATGGGTAAATGAATATCATAGTTTTTATCATCATCATCACCATTTTTTCATACATAAAAAAAGTATTTTCTGTTTAAATAACGTGATAGTTAATCTGTATACTAATTTAATATAATAGGATTATTTCTCAAAATTACTTTTAAATGTTTATGTCTAACACAAATATTATTTGCTAAAAGTTACCCATAGTACATTTCAAATTCTCTTTTTTAAGAGAGCAAATTGATTTTTAAATAATGAGTATTCAAATAAATTTGGTACTATAAAAATAAACAATAAAGCAGGGTTATCATTATTTTGCTTTTTTCAGGAGTATTAAAGCTAAAGTTATAATAATAAATAATGTGTAGTTCTCAACTATTTTGCTATATCCTGCTAGTAAAATAGTTGAGAATGAGATTTATAAAATAATTTTCAGTGTGTAGAAAATGTCTATAAAAATATACCATATTGTCATTAATAACTAGACATCTGCTAGAATGCAAATAATATTGCATCATTATTGACACATGTCTTGATACAATATTAGGACTATGTCTTTGTAGAATACGTGTATACCAGCTACTGTTATCAAAATAAATGCACGATGCTGATTGAGGCTTAGTCTTAACAGAATTATCAATTACAAATTTGGTCATTCTATATGTGACATTTCTGATGAAATCCCGGCAGCCACATGCAAAAATGAAGAATGCAAAATAAATGTTGTAGTATAGCTGAAAATTTTTGATATGATGAATTTAATTAAAGGCTGAAATAAAGCTAAAAGTTTAATGTTATTTTATTTCATACCTTGAAATACATTGTTGTAGCAATGTCATGGATAAAGAAGGTTTTCTTGAGCAAGTAATGATAATATCAAGTCTCACCGAAATAATTTTTAATATTTTGGAGGTTTCATAAGGTGAAATAAAAAAATATGAAATAGTTGCAGAGAGATAAGAATAATAAAAATGATATGATTTTATCAAAATGAGAAATTGTAGATGCATTAAAACAAGGTTTGCATAGTCCTTATTACATCCTTAGGTTTTTTGGAAACAATTTTTTGTCCTTGAATATTGGCCAAAATTTTCGAATTATGTTTAATTTTGCTAATCTGATATTTCCATTCTGTTTCTGTAAATGCCTTTCTGAGTGTAAATTAACATTTTGGATAATACAGAATTTATTTCACGCTCTATGAAGTAATCTCAAATTGCTATTAATGAATGAATGAATAAATAAATAAATAAATGAAGAACAATCAGCCTAGAGCAGAAATTTCAGCATCCGTGACTGGTTGTTCATCCAACCTTCCAAAAAAGGTATTATCAACCAAAATATTGTCTCTGTGCTTGAAAGATAATTCTTGAATTCAATCTTGACCTTACACCCATGCTTCAACTCTACTACAGTGTAAGCAGTTGTGTAGATAATTGTTTCAATTTATTCAGTTCTGTTTGCTAACACGTTCTTAATGTTTTTAATTTATTGGACCATGAAAGTCCTCAATTTCTGTTTAAAGAAATGTATAATGTTAAAGAAATGTAGAAGAGTTTCCACGTTGCATTATACAGCAAAACATAACAATTTCACTTATAATTGCACTAAATTTATCTGTATACAAAATGTGTAACAATATGAACCCTGTAAAAGTTGCTGGCTGAAAAGTGTTAAGAAGGAAATGAGGATGGAGGTAAAAGAGCAAATTGTGAGCCACTAGAACATCTAGATAGATATAAAATAATGTCTATCCAGATATTTCAGGTATCTTCATCAAAATCTGAGTTTACTGACATCACAGCTTTTCTGTTGTAGTTTGTATGTGAAAGAATGTGATATGGCTTGCAAAGGAGAGAATGTAGCAAACCTTTCCAGAAAAGAAACCGAAAATATAAACAAGTTTTTTTTTAATTCTATTAAACCATATTTAATATAATACTTTACATTTTGTGTTTTTAAACCTCTAAACCTCTGAAAAGTTCAATTTCTACAGTATGCAGCTTTATTTTTAGATTATCTGTTTTTTCTATTTATTCATCCATTCAATAGCATAAATAATTGAGAGTCCTTGTATACATATATATTCTTGTAATTTTTCAACTTTTCTGTGAATAGAAATGTAAGATTGGATTATATTTTTCTAAAACTGTTGTTTATGATGTTTAACCCCTTTACGCCGACTGTCACGTCTACGTGCCAGCAACAAACACACTCTTTTCCTGGCCGACACGCAGTGGTGCCAGAGCGTTTTCCCGTTCAGCCCCGACTGTCACGTATTTGTGCCAGTGTCCTGGAATGTTTTAAAAACTATAATTTCTGCCACAAGATGGCACTGTATGTCCATATGGTTTCAGATACATGTACATTGCCTTCTACTCGAAGAGAGAAGCATGACTCACATACACATGTTTTTGATATATAAAAAGGGGAAAACTACATTTTCCGAATGGTGTGATTTAGACGTCTCTTTAAATTCGCACGTGGTAGTTGTTTAGTGTAAGTAAGAAGTTTATTTTCGCTGAAGCGTTGGTATTCGGTTTGCAGTTCAGTTTTAGAAAATAATTAGATCTTGTTAGATGTGAATTCTTTCTGTTTTTACCATTGCAATGTCGAAGCGTCGAAAATGTTTAACAGAGCAGGAAATAGCAGAAATGATGCAAAATATTTCAGATATTGATTCTGATATTCTGATATTGAAAGATTAACTGAAAGACATTTTCCAAAACTTTGTTCAGAAGAGACTGATAAGAAAATGAGACAACGATGCTTTGTTTGTTCACATTGCCGGAAAAATCTTCCAAAACGGCAAATGAGTTATTACGAGTGCAGGATGTAACATAGGACCTGTGTGTAGATCCTGTTTTTCAAATTTTTCATACGAAAAGAGAATTTTAAGTAATATATTAGTTTTTCAGATGTATAATGTTAAAAGTCATAAAAATGTGTAAAATATGCATTTAAACAAGAAATAAGGTAATTAAAGTATGTATAAAAATATCTATAAAGCCGTTTAAATACTGTATAGAGCATTATTAAAAATGTGTTGATACTTCGGAAATTTCATGGATTTAGGCTTAATAGCAAAAAAGCTCCCGGCCCTGGACAGACGCTCACGTAAGACACTGCTGACCTCTGTGATAAGCGCATGTTTGCGGGGTTAAGAATTGGATTATTAGAACTGTTGGAGCATTAGAACGTTTATTATTACAGTTGCTTTTTGGCTCCTTTTTTGATTATACTATAGTCAAGAAATATTCCTTATAGCTTTTTAAAATTATTCAGGCTTTATTCATGATTTATGAGAATTTGTGCTTTATTAGAATGTAATTAAATGAAATGAAAATAAAACTTTAAATATTATTATATTTATATATATATCTGCAGTGATGGAAATGTTTTTTAATGTAATATATGTTACTTTTTTTAAATACTTACTAAAGTTTTTTCTAATAATTCATAGCATTAATTAATTTTCTTTTCCTTGGAGATGATATATAAATACCTTTTGTAATAATAAATTATATATATACCGTATTTGACGGCATATAAGACGCACCCTTATTTAGAAGGCCACGCACAAGGAAAAAAAGTTTCAATAGTCCGCGCGATAGTGCGGTGCCACAATAACTTAAAATGTGGTTTCTTTTAGTTCTCACATTTGTAAAAGCCAAATAAACAATCATTGAATGCAATTACAAAGCATATTTTTATTAAGGAAAATTAACAAACGGCAAGCTATTTTGAACATGATATGTAAATTTTCAATATGAATAAATGAATGAACGGCAAGCAATCAAACATAATACAAAATAAAGCAGAAACAACAAAAAACACAGATTCAAGGAAAACGTTGCCTATCATGAAATTAGACTTTAATTGCTTTCAAAACCATAAAAATCCTTTTCACTATCATCTCATCGAAAACAAGAATATCGTCATCACTACTGTTTCCGTCATCGCTAGTATCACCTTTTTCGAATAATGCATCATCTTCTGTTCCATCAAGAGCATTACTGATCCGCACTTCTTAACAATTACTTCAGCCTTTACATCCTCCCAAGATCTTTTTACCCACTCGCACACTTGTGAAACTCGCCACTTCATTCTACCTGAGGGTGTAAGGGCGTGATGTGGCTCTCCTATCCATTTCTTCCATCGTTCTCGCACTTTTTCCTTAAATGTCTTATTCACCGATACATCTAAAGGCTGCAATTGGCTAGTCAGTCCACCAGGAATGACAGCTATCTGGGTTTTAATTCTCTCGCTTTATTCTTTATGGTTTCAGTTCTATGGGCGCTAAACTGATCCAAAACCAAAAGAGAGGTTTTTCTTAAGAGTCCACCAGGTCGCCTCGCCCATACGTTCTGTAACCACAGTTTCATTCCACCTTCGTCCATTCAGCCTTTCAGATGAAAATAAACAATTATACTCTTTGGAAGTTTTTCTTTCGGATGAGTTTTTCTTTTGAATATAAAAAATGGTAGTATTTTTGTGCCATCAGCACAACATGTTAGAACTACCGTATATCGGGTTTTTTCATGACCTGTGTTTTTTATGGTTATTGATTTAGACCCTTTAATACTCACAGTCTTGTTGAATGGTACATCAAACGTGAGTGGAATTTCATCCATTATTTCCTATTTGACCGAGCTCAAAAGGAAGTTTTCTTGCGTGCATTTATAACAAACCTATGAAATTCTAGTATTTTTTCTTCATAATCTGCTGCCATTTTCTGCGCAATAGTTGTTTTTGTGCGCATTGATAAGTCTTGCCTTTTCATGAACCTGCAGCACCAGCGCCCTCAAACCCTGAAAAGTTCTGATTCCCATGTTTTTTCTTTCTGCAAATCCTTTGGCCTCATTGATAATCATTTTGATTGAAACACTTATCCCAGATTTCCTCTTATCTATCACCCACATTTTTTACGGCATTTCAAGTTCAGGCCGAGATGTAGCTGGCATCGAAGGTTATGTTTTTGTTTTTTAGCAGCCTTCAGTTGATCTTCCTGCAGTTGCCAAGTATGTATCATTTTTTCGGTAGGTGGTGGACCGAAATGCCTTGCTGCTGCTCTGTCTCCATGCGCTTTGGCATAGTTTAACACTCCTAGTTTATACTGAATTGTATAGCTTAATCTCTTGTTTCCTGTAGTCATATTTTCCAGCGTATTAAAACAAATAGTTTCAGTATTAAAACAAATAGTTTTAAGCACCGATACTGACACGTTTATACAGAGTATCGCCGATACCGACATGTATGTCGTCTGAGTCAAAGAAAGTCTATGTAAAGAAGAAAAGGCTCCATAGACGTAATGTGAACGTCAAACCTTTTCGAACTTCGACATCAGCTTTGAGCTTTGGCGCTTTTTGGTGACAGATATTTCACACATGCGCAAAATAATTATGGTAGATGTAGAAAAAGTTATGTGTGTCTAGACCTTTATCCGGGCTAAAAATAGCATTCAGTATTGAAAGTTAACCTGTGTCCTTCACGTATAAGACGCAGGTAACTTTTTTGAGTCCAAATTTAGGAAAAAAAGTGTGTCTTATATGCTGTCAAATATGGTACATATATATATATATCTTTACCTTAGTTTTAAAATTTTAAATTAAGTTCAGTCTTCAAATAAAGATCTAGAAACTGTTATTGGTCATTATTTATTTATTAAGCTTTTATAAAATTAAGTGAATATTGTTGTATCTTTTTTTTTTTTTTTTTTTTTTTTGAGGGATGGCATTAATTTATGTGAAAATTTCTTGTTTTATATCAAATTTAATAGAACTTTTATTTTTCTTTCAGTATTCCAGATCACATTTCCTGTTCTTGTTGGTACATTATCTCTGTCGTTCTTCATACATAACTGTGTTTTGTCGATTATGAGAAACCAAAAGCAGCCAAAAAATAATGTAAGTAAAATTTAATTTATATAGTTTTCAAATTGAGAGTTATGTGATTTATTCTGTTGAATAAAACAACTGCTTATTTGAATTCATTCTTGAAGAAAACTCGGAATAGGAAAAACCACCTTCAGTATTCCATACATATGAAAAGACACATTTCTTGTTCAGTGTCTTTTTATGAATGTTACCTATGGTTCTTCCCTTCATATTATGCAAGGATACTATCATACTGTGCATACTTCATACTATGCAATTATACTATACAATGATAGAAATTGAATCAGTCCAGTAAAGTATGCTTTTGGTCTTAAATTCGTTCAAAACTACTGCTGCAAGAACATTTCCAATCTGACGTAGTTGTTTCTTTTTTGCCACAAAAGATAACTTTGGTCTTCACCACTAGCGAAAGTTGCTGCTATTGTGTGTTGCTTGCTACCAAAACAAAAAAATATGTACTGAACACCAGTGAATCATATTTTATCCACCTTGGAATTTGAAAGTTTTCCAAAAAGGTACTATCTTTTACCCAGTACTGAAATTCAGATTTAATCTTAAAATCAACTTCTTTATCCCAGTTCAATTTCATTTCCTCTGTGCATTGCAACAAAATCTTGAAAACTACAAGAACGGCACATGTTACACTGGTAGGATGAAATATTTCATAAGTCATTGTCCAAAATACTTCTTTTGATTACCTTCGAAAACAAAGATTTGTGAAATTCACAATTCAGATTCATTTATTTGAAGCATATGATTTTGTTTTTTCCAGTGCAAACATTTGTAACAGTTTCTACGTATGTATCAGGATCTGTATATTCACATCCCCTTAAGTCAAATTAATGCTTTGCCATAATACTTGTAGACTCTAGTATGAAGTGCTGTAATTCAACTTCATGTCTGACATTAGTTGCCTAGTTATTAACACAGGAATTACTATTTAATTTAATAATGTTATCAGAAGTATATTTTACATTATCATCATTTTCCTCTAAAATGGACAGTAAGTAATGCTGAACTGACGGGCTAGAAAATGCATAAAAATATCTTAATATGAATGAAATCAGGTTAGTCTTTACAAGTAACAACCAATTGTAAATAATTTTTGTGTTGCCAAGCCAGGAAATAAAAACTTTTCACACTTCAGATTACATCATGATTTAAATTTAATATAATATAAATACTTTTTCTCAGTATCAATAAAAGAATTAACATGGTAATAACATATTGTGTCAATTATCCTAACCTGAAACAAAAAAAAAAAGGGTCCAATAGCAGCTATTTATTTAAAATACTGATATTAACGAACAATTTTTGATGTACTATGATGTCACATGCAATCATGTACTTTCTTCAACATCAGAATATGACCATATATAATAATAATATGTTTAATGTTTGGCAGTGCTATTTTTATTCAATATTTTCTAAAACTTACAAAGTTTGATTAGCAAACTCTATGATTTGAAAGTGAGCAGTGGCAACATTTTTCGAAATAAAGCAAATTTTTATCTCCAGGGTGTGAAACTGTTGCCACTCATGAAAATTAGCATTTTCAGAGTTTCTAATTAATATCTTGGCTAGTTAAGTCGTACAAAGATGTGAATGGTCGAAATGACTTCCCACAATTTTTTGGAATCCGGGGGTACCTCTCTCAAAACTCAACTTCCCATCGTTCCAGAGGAGATAATCCCACAAACAGACACGCATGGATTTTAATAGTGTAGATTACTGCTGCAAGTAAAGACAGACTACTTGTTACACCAAATATAACTCAGAAATATTGATTATACTTCAAGGTACCTTCATCGTTAATCCAAAGAAATTTGAGGAAGTTCCTATCAGTCTATCACCTATAGGCCAATTTCTAGTAAAGCCTATCAAATATCAGAAATTATTCCTATTTTCTCTTTATGGAATCTGTTTAAAACTGTAGAAATAAGCTTGATAAGGTCAAGTCCCTTTTCAAGACAGTCATTTAGACTCAGATCACTCTTCGCTTTAGCAGAAGCATCAAACATTGGTCTTAATTTTGTAATACTGTACTCCATCATAACATATCTACAGGGTAAATAATAATAAGGCAAATCTAATTCATTCATTGGTACCTCCTGTATATGATGCCTTCTCCGAGACATTCTTGAAACACAGTTTTGAAAGTCTTTGTGAAGACTATCTTGTTCTGGTTTCCTAATTGTACTGTGTAACCTTTTAAACAATAGCTCAAAATTATATGGAAGAGGAAGATTTTCTTCTATCTATAACAAAAACATAACAAAACAGTTGTTTTCTAGTCTCACAGTATTAAGAAAACGTTGCTTAATAGTTTCGTGTAATTCCACTGTTCTTTTCAAATGGATCTGTACCAAGGGGGTCGAGAGTTCTTAAATCAGATATGCAGGCATGTAGTAACTAAAAATGACAAACTTGCAATATTCAGTTTCTCTGTTTTTCATATAACACTCTGTCCTTATTCAGTTTCAATAGCTATGAATCTGTTTGAGATTTGTTTGTGGCTACTAGTTAATAATTTACCTGTGAAATCAGCTCCTATAAGACTTTCTGTAGGTCCTTCTAAATTATCTATTAAATCAATTCCACTGTCTTTAAGTTCTTTAAGTCATGTTACTTGGCTAATGGAGGGTTATGTTTTTATAAATAAGAGGTTGACTCAACAGTTATAAGAATTAGACATATTTGCTAAATATTTTTTTAAACCTTGTGTTCACATATGTTAATATTTGTCCCACCTAGTAATGCATGACAGTGACACACTTTTTCCATGTACTTGTAACCCTTATCTTGAGCTGTGCTTTGCAAAATGTATGATCTTTGAGAACAAGTATTCATATTAGCATGAGCCAAAAACGATTTTCTGTTACCTTTAATTATTACTCTTATGGTGTGCAGCGTAACTTTCAGAGGATCTTGAAGAAATGTTAGCAAATCTCATTTTGGCATTACATTGTTTCTGCTCTTTTTATTTAATTTATTTGTGAACAAATTATGCTATGAAAAATATGATGCCTTTTACCATATACAAAGCAGACAGTTTCTAATTTACACCTCCTAAGAGAATATCTGGATTTTAAACATAGGAAACAGAAATTTGTCCTTTGGACCACAGCTTGCCTGTCCGACAATAATAAGTTATACACTTGGCAACATTCCAGTAAACTGTGATTTGTGTTAGAACACAATATGCAGCTTTTTCTAACTTTGTGAAAAAAAATCAGCAGTTCTGCTGCCAAATGCATTAAATGAGATTTGTTCATTTTTGAACTAGTGTTTTAAACTTGTAATCAATTATAAAGAAGATGTAATTTTTTTAAATATTTATAACATGCAACATATTTGATTTTTATGTTCATTTTAGACTACATGGTATCATTCTTTCATTCATTTGCTGTCTAAAATATTGATCATTTTGACCTTTAAATCAATTGGAAAGTAAGCGGTAGTTTCTGTGTGACATCCTACATTCTTTTATTTCTGTATTTAACTTGCTGCAGCAACTATAACTTTTATCCAGATAGTTACAAGTACAGAACACCAGAATTTCACTGCAAGTTGTGCAGGTTGTGTGTGCACCTACTGCACTAACTATGCAGCTCCATCCCAATTCTGAGGGAGAACATCCCAAGGGCAGTCCGAGAGTATCTAATTCCTATTCCTTACTACCAACCACTCGAGGGAATTTTTGGCTGACCATGTATTTTGAGTGCCCCCATGTCACACAGACAGTACGCGTACAAACATTCATGCCTTCTTCTGGATTTGATTCAAAGCCCATCGGTACAATAGTCAGTATCTCTAGCCACTATACTGACTAGATGGCCTTTATGCAGATTAGTATCATGTTCCGGAGTTCTTTTTCTTACCAATTTGGGCTTCATGTAATGTTGGGATGAAAAGCTAACTTTTAACAAATGCTGCAGCAGTCAGTTAAATATGGGTGAAAATACAGTTGATTGGAGCAACTGTATGAGAGTAGTTTACTGCTTGCTTTTAATCAAAAACACTTGAAAGGTAAGATAAGTGCACCTGAAAAAATCAAGATTAATGAAAGTCAAAGAAAAGAACAATATAAATAGAGATTTTTTTGAAGTAATGGGGTTTGGGAGCAATCTATTGAAAAACAAGTAATTATTTCCTTGTGTGTATTTGATAAAGAGGCCAAAACTGTAATGGAGATAATAAAAAATATACATTGACAAATCTACAGCTTTCGAGGCTCAGGGCAGAAATCTCCTGGAGTCCACCTTATTGGAATGATCACCATACAGGATATCAACAAGAATATATAATAAACATTCATTTCATTAAAATTAATGTATTAAAATTATCTTAAGACTTAAAGAGAACAGCTTACATCTAGCAGACAAACATATATTTAAAAAAGCTTATTAATCTGCCATTTTTGATGATCTAAAAAATGTTTTAAACTTTTTTATATATATAAAAAAAAAAAAAAGCTAAAACTCTTTTTTGTAAGTTTGTGACCTCTGAAAATTTTTTTAAGCTGCATTTTCAGTGGAAAGGATTGTCTTAGTTAAGTCTTACTTGGCTCATTGTTGCTAGAACACAGCTTTTAACAAACTTTTAAAAGCTTCTCTTGTAAGATGCATTTGAAGCACATACTATCTAAAAAGTCTTCCAAAGTGCCAAATGTAAGTTATGCAATAATTCTCGTAATTTCATTTCCGCAATAAACTTTAACATTTTCAATGCATACCACTTTTTAGCTTTTTTATAATCTGACATATATACTTATCTTCAGAGGCCTCCTTCCCAGATCAAAGACCCAAGGGCAGTCTAAAGTCTGGTACATCCATGAATATGTATGAAAGAAGTAAAATATATTCAGATAGTGAACTTACCAGAGCAGGGAATTTAAAAAGGCAGGTTTTCAGCATTTTACAATGAATTGTAAATACAGCTATGTACATCTCGCATCCAGTATACATACACAGAAAACTAACTCTGGGATGTAGCCAAATGGCAAAACAAAAGGCAAAGAGGAGTGCTTGCCACTACTGGGTTCATATTTAGGAAATTTGTCTAATGACAGTATGCAAGACAAGATACCAAATTATGGCCTCAGCAAAGGTAAATAAATGTTAACCTATACATTATTCTTTTTTTTAAAGTTTGGGAAGTATTGCTCCATGCTGTTTCCTAATTTTTTTCCAATTAATTTAAGTGTTACCAAATTTTGCCAAAGTGTATGTGATAGCCAGTTTAACTAGTTAAACTTTCTATACAAGATTCTTATACATGAAATACTTGACCACAAAAATATACCTTAAAATTATTACTCAAAATGTAGCAAATAAAAAATACAGATAATATATTATAACAGTAAACAGAAACAACAGTGCAATCAAAAGGAAACAGATATTTATTGAAATTTATGATAATATTATCCTTTTATTGCAGTGTAAATAAACGACTAAAATTATTATTATTGTGAAAATTATTTGCTTATATAATTTTGGTATCTTAAAAAATAAATAAATAATAAAACTTAGAAAATAGTGACAGTGGTTTTAAATTAAGTTTGCATGAAATTTGATGATATGATTTTCTTTTAGGCTCGAGATTTAGCTATCGCATATGTACTTGTTGGAGCCACATATCTGATTATTGGCTGTGTCTTCTTTGTCACATTTCCTTTCGAAAAAAATTGTATTGAAGATGTAAGTAATTTCAACAAATTACTTTTCTTCCCTTCTTTTTTATTATGATTGTGATATACATGCAGCCTAACCCTTGTAAAGGGTAACCCTTGTAAAGGTATTTTGCATCTTTATACAGGGTTTGTACAGTCCTTAAAAGTACTTTTAAAAGTCCTTGGGTGTTTTTGAACACTATTTTTTGTCCTTAAAAGTTCTTAATTTAGGCAAAAATCAGCAAAAGGTCCTTAATTCTCATCTGAAATTTCTGTCTGTGTTTTTACAACTGTCATTTTAGGTATGAATAAACATTTTGGAGGAATATTTTTCGTGATGCATTGACAGATATGTATTTGAATTCTTTACTGCTAGCCCCCAGCGGCCGAGTGGTAAAGTCGCTGAACACTGGTAGTTCGGTCCGAGGTTCGAATCCCGCGAACGGGCTGGCTTCATGGGCCTTTTCGTGGTTTTCACCACGTGTAACGTCTATACGAGCCAGTTTCCCTTAGAAAGTCCTCCACAAAAGGCATCCCTCCCCTTAGGTAGATAGCCCTAGTGTGCTTTGCCATAATTAAATATACCACACCATCTTTACTGCTATTTAATAAAAACAGTGGGTATTCAAGTTTTAGCCATGGGGCCCTGCCTTGATTGAAACATAAACATTCAAAATTAGTTCTTTTTTGTAAATGAAGAGTAAGAGTTCATAAAATATTACATCAAAAACACTTTTCCCTTTTTACTTCCTTGTATGAAGTAAAGGAAGTTTTGTAATCGTGAAAAATTCCGGGTACCATATTTCAACAAAAATAACCATTTTGACCTCTATCCAATGCAATTTAATGATGTTTTTGTGTGACATCCATATGTAAGGATAGAATAAAGGACTCCTTTTCCCAAAACGAATTATAAAACTAATTTAAAATTCATTCAGAAGAGACTTTTTTGGTTGCATCTTTATGTACTATACATATGTATGTATGTACCCCGCATAAATCAAAAAGGAGTAGCCTCAGAACGTTGAAATTTTGTATATAGGACTTCTATAGCATATAGTTTGCATGCAGTTTTTGGTGGCAGTCAGCCACACCAAAAGTATATATATATATAATAATAATAATAATTTATTTACTAATGGGTTATTTAGTATATTATTTGCTTAGATAAGGTTAGTAGAATTGTAGTAGAATGAAGTAAATTGAATTTTAAAAAAACTTTCCAAAGGAACTTCAATTTTTATCATGAAACAATTGAATGGAAACTTATGAAAATGAAAAATTTGAAATGGAAACTTTTGAAAATGAAAAGTTAATCAATAAAGCAAGTAATTATTGTCATTGATCGGAAATTGGTTGACTTTTCAAGGGGAGCAAACCAACTCTCCATCAATCAACAATAATTAATAAATGCAAAGGTGTTTCACCTTTTACTCAATTCATAATTATAATGCCAAACTGGTAAGTTGAGTTTTAGCCAATTAGTTAGGTTCAAGGTGAGATGAAATTGGAGGACTTTATAGAATTTATTATGAAAGTGGCAGTTCCATTTAGCTTATTAAATTTTTATAAATCATGAGATTATTGCCAAATTGAGTAGTAGTAAAAATGTTTTGCTAATTTAAGTAGTAGTAGTAAAAAATTTTTCGATCTCATTTGAGTAAAGTGTCCCTCGACACCCTCACTTTGTACATGTTAATACAAAGTAACATGCACTAGGGATCCATTACAGCTATAGAGAGGAAGTTATTATAAAGCAGTCACTAGGGAACATCAGCAGATGTAAATGTGCTCATGGTATACACTGCCTTCCAGTAATTTGGCTATAGTTGCAGACAAGGCCAGATGATTATATAATAGAGCTATTTTAAGTTCTTGTACTTATGGTAATAAAGTCTTTTCAGAACTTCCTATGTGTTATCATTTTTTTTATAATAGTGACAACACAATGTAAATTCCTGAAAAACCCTTGAAAAAAATGTTGTATTTTAATTATATTTTAAATAAGGAAAAATATACAATAAATTTATTATAATATTATGTGTGTTAGTAATATTTTTTAAATTGTATATATTTTAGCTAATTGTATTTATTGTAAATGCAGAATCTACTGAATAACTTTCGAAGTAATGATTTACTAGCTGTGATAACAAGAGTATTTCTCCTTTTCCAAGTGCTGACATTATATCCTTTGATAGTTTACATTTTGCGTGTACAGATTATGCATTTTGCCTTTGGCTCTATATATCCAAGGTAAGAAGATGTGAATTTTCCATTGCAGTCAAAGTATTTACCTGTCTTAGTTTATATGTATATGCATTACAATCATATGATGATCACTGTAAATGAGGATTTTTAACTTTATACTGAAGCGACATATATTGTGTGCTGATTATGCTTCATAAACCCTAAGTGATTATTATAGTATAATTGAAATGACAATTTTGCTGGCTTAGGCTTTATATTTACCATTTTAGTTGATTCCTTGAATTTCATTAAAACTTAGTGAAAGTTATCTCTGTACAAGTTTTGTAATATAAAATTGTTACTAAAAATGACATCTTTTGTTGCTAGTGAATAATTATATAGAGCACGTCTGCTTGATTATTATTATGTCATCTGTATGCATCATTAAAACAAATAAAATATCATGTCAGCATCTTTTTTAATGTTATGAATTTTGTAAAAAAATTTTGGCATACATAAATTATCTTTGTGTTGTTCATAATTTTGCTCATCTGAATTATGGATTAAAATTTATGAATCAGATGGTTATTTTTCTTCAGGGTTCAGTCCACTGAAAGAAACTATATAGTAAAAATATCCTAAAATTTGCACTTCGGATTATGCTGTCAATAATTTTCAACCATGAAATCGTTTCTATTTTGGTGTAATAAGTACTAAAATATGTAAACATAATTAAGTGGGAAAATGGGCAAGTTACATTCAGTTTGGTTTAAATTTTGATTAAAAAGCTCTTATGTGATTTTTTTCCACCCTGCCCCCTTGATTTTTAAAAAATATATTTTATTTATTAAATAATAAGTGTTAATGCAATGATAGCCAGATATCTTGGCATATCTGCAACTATTAATTATTCCGTGTATCAATTTATTTCGGACACCCATAATCCGGACCTCAAGCTACAAACTTTCTGCGCATGCACCGCATTGAATGCGCTAAGACCCTTAACGCTGGCATATGCGTGTGCGCATGCCATCATCTTTACGCATGCTGGCTCGCAATGAGGAGTATCTTACAGCACTATCCTTATCTACAGTTTTATTTTATTGCTTATATTCCTTACTAAATGTAGTATTTCATCTCGATGTACTCCGTCTTTGATATGATTAAATCAATTCCTCGTCATTTTTCGCTTCCATAGTGAGAAAGTACAGAGTTATGAAAACAAAAAAATTCGATTGAGAAATTTCGTATTCTCGACACAGGCATTATAGGACTTGAACACGAACTTTGTAACTGAAAGAAATTATGTCTGTTTATGAATAAAGAGAATGTATTATCACATAAAAAAAGCAACTAACAACTTACATTGAAGAAATGTTTAATAAAGTAAACAAAAAATATTAGTTTTTTTTTTGTAATTTTGATATTCTTTAGATCATAATTGTTCTTTATTTCATAATTACGGTTTCATATTTTAATTTTATAATTCTGCATGCCATCTTACCAATTTTAAACTGAAAAAATCGATAATCCGGAATCGTCGAAGTCCCGACGAGTCCGGATTAACGACTTTTGACTGTATATGTAATGGGATGATTTGAGAATAACGGTAATGGTCTATTGTGTAGTTTGAATGATGTGCAACGGTAATTCAATAGGTAATTTGATTCCTTAAATAATGTTTCGGACACATATTCTTTACACATCATCATTATGGGTGTCATATGCACCCCTCCCCCCCCCACTTTGGTATAGTTGGCCTTTCTTCAGACAGTGGATGGCAGTCAGCAGAAGCAAGTGATGCATCTAAACAGCAGCAAGCAAAGTAGAAGAAAAGACTAGACAGTTATCAGCAGTATTAGTTGCAGATTAATTTTCATATAATACTATTTAGATTCCTATATTAGTAGTTTTAGGAAGGAGACATAGCCAAAGTGTGGAATTAAAAGGGCTATTGCTAAATTAAAGTTAGTAGTTTTCTTTCATATTTTTGTATTGTATGCATTTGTGTGTTTGTATATATATAAAATTATTAAAAGAAAAGGAAATAGTTGGAGCTTAAATGCAAGTTTACGTGTTCTTTCCTGTGAAAGTCCTAACCATTCCTAACCAAGTCATACATAAAGGTAGTATAAGTAAAAATTACAAATATTGAAACAATACTCAAAGCATTACATAATAAAATAAGAAATTAAAAATTAAATATTCATGTTCTTAGTTCAACGCTTCAAATACAACTTATCAAGGGAAAGGTGTTTTGAAGCCTATATCCAAGTTGATCAAAGAGTTCTGAATACAAAATTCATTCCTTTGAGACATTTGAGATTCAGGACCATAATTTTTGAAATAAATTTTCAATTTAAAATAACTTTCAGTGTCTCTTAAATATTTAGGAAGTAGGGAGAATGTGAACCTTTTCCCTACTTGTAATTTGCAACCCTTAAGACAGCAAAATTACAATACTTAAGAAGAAACACACACACACACACACACAAAAAAAAAAAAACAAAAAAAAAAAATCAATATTCAAAAATACAAAACAGGATTGAAATAAAAACGTGGTTTAGGTAGTTACCTGAAAAACTAATATGTGTCAAAAGCCTAAAACAAACTAATTACAATCGTATACAACTAAGGAAATCCCTGAACAACAAGCATCAAATTAAAATTGTCAGTATTTAAAATCTAAAAAATGGGGCAGCTCGAATGCGTGTTAAATTAGGTTTTAATCTGAATTGAAAAAAAAAACAGTTAAACTTTGAATCAAAAAGCTGTTGAGAATGCTCAAAATTATATTAAATGCTGATAAAGATACAAAAGCTGCTCCCAAGAGTTATCAAGAATTAAAAAAAATAAATAAAGGTAAACCTTCCTAGATTTAATCTAATCAAATACAGAAGGTTGTTAATAATAAATGAAGAATTTTATAAAAAATTCTTATCAACATCTAAAAATTCACTGAAGAAAAATAGTGAGGGCAAATGCAGTTTCTTTAAAAAGAATGAAGTTTCAAAAAATCTAAAAAAAATTCTTTTAAAAGAATAAATCTAGTTCAAAATGCCAAGAACAATTCAATTAAATTTGCCACTAAAGGCCAATGTATATTATATATATACACACACACACACACCAGAATATTTAAATAAAGAATCAAGAATTTGCTTTTATGTTATATGTTTTCCTTGCAGTATATATTTATTAATGTCTTTTAAGTATTCTTTTATTTAAGTAGAATTTAATATTTTTCTTATAGAGAGTTATTTGTAAAAGTTATTTTTAAATTTATTCTCTGATTATTTTACTTCTGTCATAGTTGGAAACATGTCATGGTTCTCAATTTCATAGTCCTGGCTATATGTATTTTATTCAATGTGTACTTGCCAAAAGTTGGAACTATTATAAGGTATGTTAAGTTTTCATTTTACAAAGATTCAGATGAGATATTTTTATATTCTCATAATGGCAGGAATTATTGCTGTACCACATAGCTTCAGGAAAAAAAATTTTTTTTTCAGTATACATAAAATATTAATAGACAGTAAGAGCTATTGTTGGGAAAGTAGCTATTAAAATGTCACATAAAAGCAATTCCCGAGTTGTTACTTATAAAGCATAACATTCAAACTTCAGTTGTTATTAAATTCAGAAATTACTTTTCACCAGGTTTTACGTACAGTAAAAATTTAATAAATTGAACTGAACATGGAAATTTAGAATTAGAAATAGTTAACTTTTTTTTAAAAAAAATCATGTGTTTTCAGTTACCATACATTCCTGTTTATGAACCAGAAATTCTTAGTAAATATTTTATTATTGGAATAGGAGAATTGACCAAGTTCAAAATGATTTGCAAATAATTTGATCACAAAAAGGATATTATATGTAAGTAATTGAAAACATATATTTTATTTAATCTTAATATAAATTATTTGTTTTTTAATAATGATATTAAAGTTGCATTTTTTTAGTGTGGTAAGTCGGGTGAACATTATCACTTTGCATATCAGTGCTCATATCATTGTCTCACATGCTTCGTAGATAATATCTTCAGTTCTGTCCATAGTATTAATAAAAGTAATTAATAAACATTTATTTTAAAAGCAGCAAAATATGCAACCTTCTCTTTCTTTTCTGTTTGAGAATCTTTTACAACAGATAATAAAAATTATTTTATCTATATTTTATTTGTAAAAGAGAGAACATGGCTGAGGAGGAAAACGTCTTGAGACTGCTTGAGAATAGTTACTACAGTTGAGAACCAAAGTAAAATTTGTCAATTATAGCAAAAGCATCAAATGATGAACATGTCTAAATTGAGAGAATTGAGAAAGACATATTTAGCCAGAGTAGGGCCTTTGCTTTTTATGATGTTCTCACCTTTTCAATTTTTTTTAATGAAAGCTGAATGTTAACTGGCACTTATTTTCAACTCATTTGATAAATCTAAGTTAGATAATTACATTTTTGGTAATGTATATAACTTGATTTATAGGTTGATCTTAAATTTGGTTTATAGACAGGTTTTCAATTTTGACTGAATTTTGCAGTAAACCTTTCTTCCTGCAACATAAATTGGCTATATTTGAGTATACTATATTCTGATTGTTAACTGATCCCTTTTGTTTCAGTTAATTGAAGTTCAATTATGTATGTATTTTAATGCATATTATAATTAGATTATTCAATTTATTACATAGTGTGGCTACTTTTTGGTGATTTATATATGAATATTTCTTTCAATAGGTACTGTGGTGCTATTTCTGGATTAGCATATATATTTACTCTCCCTTGCATAACTTATATGAAAGCTTTGAAAGACAGAAATCAATTGACTGCAACTTCTTTAACAATACATAGTTTTATCATCATTTTAGGGCTCTGCAACTTCTTTTCTCAATTTTTTGTACATGCAGTGTAAAAAAAATAAAAATGTTTTCTATTAAAAAAAATGCATTTGAAAAGATTTTATTAGAGTTCTGAAACATATATAATTCAGTGAGCATCTTATATGTTTAAAAATGTTTCTTAGAAACAAATAATTACAATAAAATGTGATATTTATATTTCAAAGTACTCTGAGAAAGAGATGCAAGCATAAAATAAATGTTAATGCATAACTGATTTTTTTTAATTGATTAAAAAAACTTATTAATTGTAACAAGAGGGCTGCAGGTTTAAAGTAGCGACTCACTGTTTTATAATCCCTGAGTATAACACTTTGAATTTAAATACTATCTGTTTTAGACTATATTTAAATTCTAATTTAATTCTTACATTCAGTATATACTGTTTGATACAAATAATGTGATTGTGAGTACAATATGCATGATTTGGACCAATTTATTTATGAAATAAAATAGATGGATATGTTTATTTAAATTTCATGTATTTAACAGACTATTAAATCAATATGTATGACATGTAAATTGGCTTACAGTGTGTGGCAAATATTATACAAAAAACAGTTATGTAATGTATGTAGTAAGTCTCTGTTGCTTTATTTATTGCATGAATCGGTGTTTAGTTTTTGAAAATTTGCTTCTAAAAACAGACCATATAAACATGGTGATATTATGTTTCCTTTCCACATGAAGATTTTTGTCTTATAATATAGAGTCACTTTTTGTTAGATTTTAGTGTAAATTTCTTTTCTGTTTGTTTGGTTTTATAATTATAGCAACAAATCTTAAAAAATGAATACAAACACACAGTTGTTTTTTAAATGTTATTGTATATTTGTTTAACATATTAAGAGAAACAAGGTAGCATCATTCTTCAAATTTTTTTAATAACTAAATGAAATTTGGGGTCTAGATAATTTGAATGTTTGGTGTTTTATTGTAGCATTAATAAGCATAATCAATTTTAGCATTCTCATATGTACATAATTTTTGTCAATAATGATTGCTTGTAATCTTTTTAGTTTATGCTGCATGCTCTTTTTAGTTTATGCATAATTTCAAGATATTGTGTACATGATGTTGTATAGTTACAAATATATATGAAAGGCTTTTTTTACCAAATTGCCAACCTGTTTTGATTAATAGCATGCTTACTTGAAAATGCACGATCTGGCAACACAGTGGTTTGCACTTTGAATAATTTATTTCAAATTCCTTCTCTTCCTCTTCTCTTCCATTACATTTAATATGTGATATGTATCTGGTGTTGTCTAATAAGTTTGTCAATATGTTGCCTGTATTCAACATGCAAATCACCTCAGTAATTGTTTTCTGCCTAATATTTCTCTATTTCCATGTAAATTTATATTTAATATGTTTTACATGTTATAGGGATCTGAGAATGACATTTTGCTAATTTTTTTTATTTATTTACTTACATATGGAATATCATGTACCTCAGTATCTTCCCAATGAAAATATTATTTTATTATTAAATGAAATTATTGTTATTTTTTGGCTAACTAATTATATACAGTAGAATTTCAGTATGTTGAACTTAAATCAAAATGTAAAATTCAGAAATCATATTAACTTATCTAAGTAGCATAGACTTTTTCCCCCTGGTCTCTCCTATTTGAGTATATTGAAGGTCTACTAGATTTTAAAAGTGCTTATGGAATGTATATTTGTAACCATACCAGTAAAAGTTAAAATGTTAGTTTAAATGTTGTATAATGCGACATCAAAAACTAAGTGGGGTCTATAAATGTGTTCAATTCAAAGATTTTAGAGTATACTTTTTAAGGTTTCATGATTTACCTGTGTGTTGTGACTTATCAGTTGAGAAATGTGTATTCATAATAAGGAATGAGCTTAGTATTACCTGTTATTTTTTAATGCTGCATTAGTACATTTTTTTAAATCTAATGTTATGCAACCTCACAGTTAAGGCTTATTTTTGGTGTAGAGGACATGCTTTATTTTAGTTTTTCATTTTGTTTTATCATGTGTGTGCGTGCATATGTATATTACATACATCATACATGTATGATATTAAATTAAGGATGAGCTTGAAAAGTGATCACTTGGGTGATAAATGTGTCAGAAAATCAGCTGCATGGTACCAATGCATAGATTGTCAAAGAAGCCTCCTGACTGAAATAAAAAAATGTCTCCAGCTACCATTATGTATATGCATGGATGTGTGCGTATATGTATGTATGTATATATACTATATACACACTCGTATTAACTTATATAAATACATGGTACCCATAAAGTCGAGACCAGTTTAGTTAAACAGGATGAAATTATTGAAATAAATTAATGAGGATGAAGTAATGTAATGCACTTTAATATGACTGCCTTTCACTTCAAAACTCATCTCCAATGTTCTGTTGTTACTCGAAACTTTTATTTTTATATCTGAAATGTATTACCTTCAGCAGTTTATATTCAGTTTCAAGGTTTTTAAAAATTATTGACTTTCATTTGATAAAAACCCAAGCACTGGTAGTTTATTCTGGGTTCAAATTCTGATGAATAGGCTGGCTGCATGAAAGATCCCATATTTTTCTGAATAGGTGATATAAATGCAAGTGAGTTTCTCTTAGAAGGTCCTCCATGAAGGAATTCTTTTCCTATATACAGATATCTCTCATAAGCTTTGCCATAATCTAACTAATGTCAGTTGAGTATGCTGACCAAAGTCTTTGTCTATTCCTGTGCGAAGAAAAGCTATATTGAGATAATCATAAACATCAATTGTGAAATATGATGATACACTGTCCTGTTAAAACAAAGTTTGCAAAATTCTGTTAAGAATTAGTAGCAGCTTCAGAATGTTTTACTAAAACAGCAGACTGATGCAGTTGGACTGTGGTTCACTTGCTAAACTCTTTGCCCAATTATCTTTAAATTTTGTTGAAACTTCTATCTGAACTTCTTTCATTTTCTACAGTGCTTGTTCTCAAATTTTATTTAATGAGAAGTTGAATATTTGGAGCTGAGTTTTCAAAAAATTATGCTCAAATTTGACTTGAGGCTTCATATGGTAATGCTGTTAAACATATTACAATAAGAACTTGTTGTTATCATTCTACAGTCAGTTCTTGGCACGTAAAGCAGAAATAATTACATTTTAACCAAAATGGATCAAGAATTTAGAGATACCTTATTTATCCATATATACATGTGTTATATTTACGTTTAATTAATTCAATTGTCCATTGAGACGAATTGTCAAAGTACATGTAATGTGTGTAGTTTTGTAACCAGTGCAGGGAATGTATATTGCAGAGGCACCCATGTGGTCAATGGTATTTTGAGGCCCTTGACCCATAAACACTGCTGTTTCATCAATAGTAGTCATGTTCAGGAGTTGCTGCCATCAATGAAACACTTCAATGCAAGTGCACATTTAATCACTTCAGTATCTCTTGATTTGAAGAGTGTTGTCGATGTTCTTAAAGACAATGCGTGTTGCTGAAGGAAGCCATTTGCCCAGTGTTGTGATGCTTTGAATTCATCTGGAAATATGTCTAGCTGTGGTGGTGCTATTACAAGGGCATATGCTTGAATATCAGCCCTGCAAACAATCAAACACTTTGCCCTGCTGTTAGTAATCCATTCGCAGATGTGTGCAGAGTTCAGGAAATAATGCTTCTAGTTATTTACCTCAAACAACCTATCAATTGATATTTATTGTAATTTCATCGCCATTTCTGGACAATTCGCAGATTTAATTTCTTCTCTTTTCAGAAAGCTGCAAGACTTTTAATTCCTAGAGTTTCCCACAAGAGTTTTCTTGTGCTCAACGGAATAGGTTTATCTTTTTGCATTCATTTTATCTGAGCATCAAAATTTATTATCCTTTAAGTTTATTATTAAATCAGGTGCTAAATGTTCATTGCTTATGCAATATATTGAATACTGAAGATTCTAATTATTGCAACCATGTCTGTTTCATATTTGCATGTGTGTTGCTTCTGCCTTTTGGGAATAAAGTGCCCATCTGGCTGATGATTTAAACTAAGTCTTATATAAAAAGTACCCTGAAAAATCATGCTAGAGCTTATTTTATGTATAGGTCTTAATTTCAGAGAAACATGGTATTTAATTGTTCAGAATAAGTAGTTTAAAATCCTATAAATATTTCTGTGTAATTCTTTTCTCTAACATGAATCTCTTATTTGTCTCATACATATATCTTTCAGAAAATTATTTATTGAGGCACTGTTGAATTTATAAATCTCTAAAATTCTACTGAATATATGTAAATGTTTTTGTATTTTTGCATACTGTGATCTTTAAGGGAAGAATGTATTCTATAGTAATGTATATACCGTAGTTTCATATGTATGTTCAAATCTTTAATATTAGTGTGAGAAGGGAAAGCAAATTTTATATATCATTTTTAGGCATCTTTTTATTATGCTGATGTACCTGAAGGGTTAAGATCTTTTATTTATTATATTTAAGCATGTTATTTGTTTATTGTAACTACTTAAAAGGTACAAATAAATATTTTGAAATGATAAATTTTTTTAACATTATCAACATTTAAACTTTTTTAGATGTTGGTATGAAATTAGTTTTATATCATGATTAAAACTATAAGTTTTTTACATGTACATATTTTTAAAAATTAATAAATATTCATTACAATTAATACAGTTTCTTGATTAATTTTCTTGGTACCGTAATGTCTTGCATAATGAACTTAATCCATTACACAGTCGCACTCATTCATGGAAATTGCTTATGTAGAATCGAATTTATTCCAAACTTGGTCCAGCGTTTAAAAGCCTTATAAATAAAAATTTTTGAGACTAGTGAAAGCAATATGAATGTTGGAAAAACTCGGAATTTACTAATTTGTTAGTTACAAAAATACTTACATTATACCTAGTCTGCTCCCCCCCCCAATTTAATCTGCAGCTGCCTTTAATCTTTTTGCACATTTACCTTCAGTTTCTTGGGTAATCTTAAATTTCAAGAAGTTTTCTCTAGTCTCTCTTCCAGAGCTGCAAAAATGTAATTCAGTTACATGTAATTAAGTTATATTCTTGCATGCAAGTAATAATTGCAAAGTAAGTATTATTTTAATGACATTTACAGTGTAATTGCAATTACATTATAATTATAGAGTAATTGTACACTGCTGTGCAAAAATTAAGGACGAGCCTATTTTTTTTCTTTCAATATAACATTGTGCAAAAGCTTTTGAAATCAATATAAATAATAAGATCTCCAAGATGTAAGAACATGGGTAATGTAAGCAAAATTTCCCAAAAAATAAATCAAAAGGATAAAAGGAAAGGTTTTCAGTAAAGTAATACTGAAAACGTAGCATGAAGCACAATGTAACAGAAGGCCGAAACATTCATGTGACAGGAGTCCAGCAAGAAACATCCAGCCTTTAGTAGGGGATATGATATTCCCTGACTGCTGTGCAGTTTTCACATTGTTTGTCCATGCTGAGTATGAGGTTGTCAATGAGTTGTTGAGGCATTGCTGCTCATTCCTCTTGTAGTGCCCAATCGCAGCTCTGGAACTGATTTCTGTTACTTGAATGTACTAGCCTTAAAAAAAAAATATGTGATATAATCAATCCACTTTGCATCTAATGAATTAATTCAAGATCAGAGCTTAAATTGCAGCTGAGCTTGCCTCCGGTACTTCTCAGCTTTTGAGCTTGTCGGAGCGCACCAAAGCCCTTATATGAGAGGTCTCTGGTACTTAATTTATGTAACTAAAGCAACACTTCAGCAGAAAATTCTTTGGATCTAAGTCTGCCTTAAAAACCATTTCTAGCTTCTGAATGCTTTCCTGTTTTTCTCTGGGAAACTACCTCTTTGCTCATTAAAAATATAAATACCTCTCTATATGTTAAAGGCTTTTTATCCAGGAAATGAATTTATGAGAGCGGGTTTTTAGTTCTCGAAAATGCTAAAAGTGGAACTTTTGGAAAGATTATTTAAAAAGGGGGTTGAAAATTTTCACTTGTATAGAACCTTACTTTCATTCTCAATTAACAACTCAGACTTAAAAAACCACTTTTTATACCTGTTTAATTCTGCTTCACAGCTATAATTATACTCTTTTGGGAAAAAAAAAAAAAAAAAAGGAAGCATCATGAAGGAAGTGGTTGTTTTTGATGAAATTGAATATGTGTGTAGCTCATACACAAATAATAAAATGATTAAAAAATCAAGGTCATAGTACCTGTTCACGGCTCACAATCTCCAATTGAGTGTTCAAATTAGTAGTTGGTCGAACCGCCCCTGGCGGCAATGCATGCTTGAATTTGTCAAGGCAAGGAGTGGTAGATATTCATAATGTCATCCTGTGATACATACTTCTAGGCATTCATCAGTTGTCGCTTCAGATCTGCGATATTTTGTGGTGCCTGAATCTGGCGGCCTACCATGTCCCAGACATGATCTATTGGTGAAAGGTCTGGTGACCTTGCTGGCCAAGGAAGAGCACGAAGACAATCCAGAAACATGCGAGCGGTATGTGGCCTGGCATTATCTTGGAAAATGGCCCCAGGATGATGTGCCATGAAGGGTAATGCAACCGGCCGCAGGATGGTATCAATATATCATTGAGCTGTTAAAGATGTACGGAGGATGACTAAAGATGACTTGCTGTCATAAGAAATAGCACCCCACACCATCACATCAGAGGTTCTTCCTGTATGTCTTTGTAAAACAAAGGCTGATTGTGACAGCTGGCCCCGTCCTCTCCAGACACGAACACAGTGGTCATCTGCTTCAACAGTGAAGTGGGATTCATCACTGAACACTGTACAATGCCAGTCTGATGGAAGCCATGACGATTGGCTGCGACACCACTCCAGACGACTTCGCTGACGTTGTGGGGTTAAAGGCAAACATCTTAAAGGCCTCTGTGAATGTAACCCCACCTCAGACAAGCGCCGTGAGATGATGGACGGTACCACGGGAGGTATAGACGTGGCTGTAGTGCGTTGAATAGTCGACAATGATACCGTTGCGGTTTGGACCTAGGGAACAATCATCCTATCTTGCCTCGCATTTGTGCTCCTTGGCCGGAGGAGCCTTCATTTTGTCGGCAATTTCCTTGTAGCAGCCAACATCTTTGCACAGCAGTGTGTGTACGCTGTGTGTGTAAATTCCAAGAAGTCCAAATGTAATCTGCAGGGCTCTTCTGCTGCTACAAGTCATATGCTACGCCAACAATTTGAATTCCAAATAGATATTGGCCTTTTCCAGGAACCTTATGTCAACAGTGACTGTACCTTGGGAGGCTCAACCACAAATAATAAAACTTTTCTTTCTTCAAATAACTCAGCTGCAATAGTTTATAATGGTCACTTAAATCCAACTCTATGGAGATGTACTGATCACTCTTTCAATCTTTTAGTTATCTCAGTCTATTGCCCATCCATAGCAGGGAATTGGATGCAGTTTTATCAGAATTAGATTATCTTCATTCTAGTACCTTTGATGGCTGTATAATTGGAAGGGATTTTGATGCCTCTAGCCCCCTTTGGGGCTTACAAAGAAAAAATGCTAGATGTGCTATACTACTCAACTTTATATCGTCATTAAATTATATCTTCCTAAATACAACATATTATCCGCCTACCTTTGACACAATTCATGCAAAGGGTTGGCCTGACCTTATTTTGATTACTCCTCAGTTAGTGATCTAATTACTCTTAGCGATCACAGATGTATTGTTTTTACATTGAACTCCCAGTTCCCTATCTTTGTTAAACAAAGATTTAAAACTCATTATGGAAGGTTACGAAAATTAGAAAGGAACTTTGCTCCACTCTTGATAGCTTGTTACAGGAATTCAATAATTGCTCATCTGGCTCAGAACTGGATAATCCTTACAATAAACTGATCCACTACAATATTCAAGTTTGCCAAAAAAAACTTTCGTCTTAGATCATACCCAATTTATACAAGTGCTATCTGGTCGACAACTGAACTTGCACGAGAAAAAAGCTTTCTCAGAGCTGTAAGAAGACAGGCTCAAGCTAAATTCGAGAAAAACATTAAATTAGCAAAACGAAGATATTGGAGAAATTATTGTACTAATACTGTTGATAAATTCGGAACGTCTTTTAAAATTGCCACTGATCAAATCTTCCATCCTACAGTCCTATCTGCCAGTTTACTACTCAATGCCAATAACACAGTGGAGATTGCCCACTTTGTCCTCCAGTCTCTATTCAAGGAGGACTCTGCAGGAGAAGATACCTCTGATCAAAAGGCCATTCATGACTCTTATCTAAACTTTCCATATTTTTAATACTCATCTGAACCTCTACCAACTTTGCCTGAACTCGATAGAATTATAAGACAGTTAAACCCCAAAAAGGCCACTGGTTCGGATGGGCTTGACAACGCCTTAATTCAGTTATCACATCAAATCTATCCAGAATTGACTCATGCTTTCATCCTGGCTTGCGGAAAATTAGACATTTCCCTCTCTCAACAAAATTAGCTGAAGTCGCTCTCTTCCACAAGAAGGATAAAGATCCTGCTTGTCCGGCTTCCTATCGACCAATTTGTCTGCTGCCATCCTTTGGTAAACTTCTGGAGAGAGTTATCCTTGGACGACTTCAATACTTTTTATATAGTAATGGTCTACTAGAAGAAAATCAATTTGGATTTTTACGTGGAAAGTCCACTGAACATGCTCTGTCACGATTACTTACTGTCATCAAAGAAAATGGAAGCAACAATATGCATACATTCATCATCAGTTTGGATATTCAGGGGGCCTTCGTCTCCCTGTGGTGCCAGACATAATTCATGCTCTGGTAGCCATGGGTTGTCTGAAGGACCTTCTTGATCTTATTCGTAGCTATTTACAAGATCGCTCCGTTCAGATAACTCTAGACTCGACAATACTTTGACATAAATTAAGCAGAAGATGTCCACAAGGATCCTGCTTAGGACCTCTTTTATGGAACATTGTAGCAAATACCTATCTAAAACAGCTAAATAAAGACTCCAGCTGCACAGTTATTGCATATGCTGACGATTTTTTGTTTACTTTTAAAGGGAAGTCGAAATTACAAGCCTTGGCACAAGATTAACTAACTTTAGCAATTGGGCAAGATGCCATAAAATTTCCTTCCAAATCACAAGGCCCGCTACTTTGTACCAAAAAAACCTCTAAAGAGAACGCCTCCTCAAAAAATCCTTGGAACTTCAATTAAATTTGTACAAGATTTAAAATATTTAGGAATAACTTTTAATAACCGCTTTATCATGGCTACCCCATCTCAGATATATAAAACATAAAGTAGACAATATTAATGAAGAGAACTTCGGCAAAATACTGGGATACTTTCTTCACTCATCTTGAAGACCTGGTATTCTATCGTAACAGAAAAGATTGTCCGCTATGGAGCAAGTATTTGGGCTACGCATCTTACAAATCAAGAGCGCACTGTACTTCTGAGAATACAGAGACCCCACTTACTACAAATCTGTAGAGGCTATCGAACGACCTCGACTGCAGCTCTGCAGACTCTTTCTGGTTCCCTTTGGCCCTGGTTGCGGAAAGGGAATCTGCACTAGGTGGAATACTTAGTCTTCATCAGGACAGGTCCTTCTGGAAATATGATTACACAGCCTCGAATTATGAAATGAAAGTCTCAACTTTTCTCTGTCACCCTGCAGTCAATGGCATCCAGAATAGTATTAATCTTACTAATAGTAGCATGGTTCATGAACATTCTGCAATATATACGGATGGTTCTCACATGGATTCTGATACTGGCAGTGGACTTTGCATCCTTCGTAATGACATAATTCATAGGAAATAGCGAAGAAGACTCAGCAAATGCAACTCAGTTTTTCCAGGCAGAACTTATAGCAATCTGGAAAGCAATTAATCTTTCATGTAGCCTACCAGTACCAGTACATATATACACAGACTCGCTGTCCAGCTTGAAGGCAATAGCCTTACTAATCCAGAAGTTTTTCAAATACAGCAGCTCCTACTACAAATCACACTGGAATTAAGACCCACCCTGCACTGGGGAACTACTCTGATATGCGCCCTCAAGGCCAAATTTCTCGCCAAATATTTTTGGCGAGAAACTCCACGCTGCCATATTGCTATCTAAATTTTTGTCTACATTTCCAACTTTAAGCTTAAAATGTCTCCAAAAACACGGTTTAAACCCACAATTTAAGCTAAAAATCCGAAACAAAAACAAAAAATTTAGATATCAAAACCGTGAAGTTTCTAACCAAAATTATTAAAGACCCACCCTGCACTGGGGAACTACTCTGATATGCGCCCTCAAGGCCAAATTTCTCGCCAAATATTTTTGGCGAGAAACTCCACGCTGCCATATTGCTATCTAAATTTTTGTCTACATTTCCAACTTTAAGCCTAAAATGTCTCCAAAAACACGGTTTAAACCCAAGCTAAAAATCCGAAACAAAAACAAAAAATTTAGATATCAAAACCGTGAAGTTTCTAACCAAAATTATTTGACAAGAATCCATGTACACAGTGACATGTTTTAACTTAAAAAAACATCTACGAATGGCACCATCTAGGCAACGAACGAATTTACGAACTACGCACACGTCGCTTTAATAAATTAACATAACAACAATAAATTTCAAAGAATACCATGTACACAGCGTTCTGTTTCAACTTTAAAAAACATCTACGAATTGCACAGTTTAAACGGTACGCACTAATTAACAAAATAACTAAAATAAATTTCAAACAATTAAAAAAAAACAATAACGACAGAAATTCATACTAAAAAAACAATGAACATAACATTCTACAAAATAATAAGAAGAATAAAATAGAATGCACTTATGCATTAATGCTTTTTCGAACAACAGAAATACCAATTTCACACCGTCTTTAACATACCGCCACGTAATCACTATCGGATTTATATGACAGCCAGACACAATATCCAGAAAATTCATACTATGGTTCACAAATAAATAAAATAACAAATAATCACAAATCCCTACTTCTATCAAGCACAGCCACTAAAAATAATCTCCCATACCTTCCACACCTCCAAATACCCATTACCCCTCAACAGGATGGCCACGACGATATTTCCTTATGCCCACGGAGTATAAACAAGGAGGCGGAAACTGGTATTACAACTTTTCCCAAAAATGGTCCACTTTTGTCGCATTATTTATAGAGGGCGCTGCAATCGTTAGCTGTTCTACTTTTCGTAGGATTTGACATAGGCAGCAATACAGAAAATATTGATTTGATGTCAATTTCCATCATGAGTAATTCTTGTAGTGCAACCTGCTTCGTCCCTGGATGCAACACTGGTTATACATCTGTTAGGCAGAAGAATAAAAGCTTGGGAATCAAGAATCCAAGTATATTTAGAGCTCCAAAGGTGAGCAACATTAATATCATGCCTGATCACAGTCAGACGAATTTATATAACTTTACAGAACGTCTGGATTGCTAGTAAATAAGAGGGTATTTAAAAAGTAATAGACTGGAAATTAGTTAAATAAATTTAAATAAATTAAATATTTCACATAACTTATGTGCATTTGCATTTCGTGCATGAAAGCAGGCAATCCTGAGATTTTAAAGTTAAATAAATTTCTGGAATTATGCAAGAATGATGGAATATTTGCCTCTTTATTTCATTTACAGAAAAGAAGATTAACTCATTTCCCCTTCTTTTCCGTTTGAAGTAGGTTTTTTATAATAAATGGAAATGAACACTGTGCTGCTTAAAATTAACTTCACTTGCATGGTTGAGTGAAAACATAACAGCAGATAAGTGTAATGAAAAATTGATTTTCCATGAGATAAATTCAGCATATTAAATAAGTTATGAATATTATAAAATCATGCCACCTAATCACATAATTGAATGGCTGTTAAAAATTAAGATTTAAATCTTGATACACTGCACAGTGAGAACCATTATGCACAAGGATTTTAAATTTGAATGTGTAAAACTATTCAAGCGTTATGTGCTGCAATTAAATTTTAATTTGCCATTACTATTTTCAAATTAAATTTTAATCATTAAATATTAAATTTGCTACAAAGTCACGTTAAAAAAATTGCATATAACAAGAGTATTTTTATTTTGTATGTAACTGAATTCTGATATTTATACATACTTCTTGAAATATATTTTACAGGATCCTGTGCTGCTAAACAAATGGAGACATGCAATTCCTCGGGCCTACCGAATACTTTCAGAGAAGGATGTTGTGTGCGAGCATCATTTTGCAGAAAGTGATGTAAAACAATTTTACGAGACGAAGTTGTCCGATGGGACAATATTCAAGTTGGAAATGGGCCGCCCTAGACTCCAAGAAGGAGCAATACCCTCAATCTTTCCAAATCTGCCTTCATATTTATCCAAACCGTCACGTAAAAGAAAAGCACCTCCTGCAAGAAATGTGCCTGTTAATAAGAAGAATGCTCCATTGGTTGCAGATAATGTTGCCGCTACTAAACAGAATTTTACAATTCCACTGTTGACTGAAAGTCTCCAGAAGATTTCCAAACCAAATTGTTTGTGGACTGTAAATTCTGTAGTTGAATTCATTGTATGTGCTCGATGGGCAACTAATTACATGTGTGAAAAAAGGGTTATAATTGATAAAGATATGACTATAAAGGTTAGTTTTGTTTTGACATTTTTATAATTTCAGTATTGCACGTCAAACTGCACTTGGTACTATTGTGCTACACATTCATTGCTTTTTTTTTTCATGTGTAATGTATTCTACACTTATTTATTGTTATTTTTACAGAATTCTACGTTATCTTTTCTGAATTTTTGAGCTATGAATAGATGGATTTTTTTTTATATTAAGGAAATTGTCAGAGATGATGATACTTGTCTTAGAAGGCTTATTTTTAAATCAAAAACATGTTCTGAGAGACATAACATGAAATTATGTCTCAATGGAAATGAATTAGGCATATTTCATTGTCATTGGTTTCATGCCTTAGGAAAGAAACCAACAAGTGTCTGGTTAAGAAGCACATGGCAGAGGAACCAACTATTATGACTGACGAATGGCAGGCATATTCCATAGGCAGGCATGGGTATTATGTGCATAAGATTGTTAATTATCTCGCAAATTTTGTTAAGTTGCAACTGATGCACTTAGTCTATAAAATCCTGCTGCCTCTGAAATTATGAGTACAAAATTGTGGTCTTGAAAAGTAGAATTAGCTAATCACCTACTGAATACCTGTTTCGACATGAAGTTAAGTGTAATGGCCAAGATCCATTGATTAAATCGCTATTAAAAATTTTCTCCTCGTAGGGTAATATGCATCTGTCAATTTCCTTAACAGCATAATTTTTGGGGTGAGGGGGGATAAATGCCCTTTACAGGACCATATAAATCTGATAAGAGAGAAATGAAATTACTGTATATATATATAGCAAGCTTTCTTTTTATCTCTTGTAATAATAGAATTCTTCTAAAAACATATTTCAATAATAATACTAGTAGCATGTATTGTACTTTCTTATGCTAGTTTTTACTTACATGTGCTTAATATACTTATATATCACACGTAACAAGTTAAATTTGACACGTGTAACAAGTTAAATATATGCTTAAAATCATATTTCATCTGCTAACTTAACTAAGTACCACTAAAAACATTGCCGTGTGCAAGCTTGGCAGTGTATATTATTGTATAACAGATCACATATTATGCACTGAAATATGCTTTCGTTACCAATTTTATAGTGTATTTTAATTTACCTAATGTATAAATGCACACACTGGCCAACGAATTAGAAAACTTTGAGTTTTCGTTTAAATGCGTACTAGGGATGAAGTATGCAAATTTTTTTTGTGAATGAAGCCCATGAATCCATCTTGCCTTACTCACATGTACAAGGGTTTGGTAGGGGTATCATGATATGGGGCATGTTCTGCTGGCATGGAAGTGGCTCCGGAAGCATGTAGACTTGATGCCCAAAGGAATCAGAGCAGTTATGCGTGCAAACTGTGATCCAATAAAATATTGATCTTGCATTTCTAATTCATTGGTCAGTGTGTGTAATACCTTATAAGCAATGACATAAATTGTATATTATTTTATAAATAATATTTCTTGCTTTCTCATTGTTTTGATTTAATAATGGTATTATGTTCCCATATCTAAATTATTGGGTGCATGACTGATCCAATTTTAATTTTTCAGCCAGTGTATATTATTTGTCTTGCTAGTTTGTTTGTTTTTATCCAAACATGATGTGTTAATATGTACTAAAGATGCAATAGCTGAATTTAATAATTTTTATGTACCTTTAATTAATGTGGCTAATGTTATGCAAATGCTAATTGTTATACTATATCATTAGATTGCAATGCTTGTTTGAAACACAAATTCACTTTAGATCCAGGTGAATCAGCAATCTTGCTCAGCAAATTTCTGATCCATGTACTTCAGAAATTACCAACATTTTGAAAAATCCTGCCTTGCTTAATTCAGCAAAAGTACATAATTTCTTCATAAATGATTCAATAAGCTTCTTATGTTTGTTTTGAATAAATGAAATAATGCTGAATTAGTTGTTGTCCCACTAGCACTGAAATCCTGTGAAAATGAGAAATTTCTCATATATCCCTTCTTGGAGTTCAGAAAACGTATGAAATCTTATTGAAAGATTCTTTTGGAAGGTATGTATGACACAAAGAATTTTGTTCTCCCGTATCATTTACGTAACAAATACAAATCTTTCACTCCTAAACAGGCTCCATTTAAAGCTATCAGAATACCTAAATATCCAAATGACTTTTTTCCGTGTATATTGGTTGTTCCTGTACGAAATTGTGCACATGATCTCATTATTCTAGATCATTTTTCTAAACATCTTGTTTTATGACCTCTCAAAAATCTCACTGCTGAAACTATTACAGCACATTTATTACAATATATGTACCTGGAAGACCAGAAATGATCTTGATTTAGGCACACAATACCCTTCACTGTTGTTTGAATCCATTACCAAATGCTTGGATATTAAATTATCTCACTGTATTCCTCAGAGACCTGAGTATAATGAACCTGTTAATACCTGTATCAAGAGCTCTTTGCTTATAATTCATGAAAAAGGTATTCCATTTGAAAATGCATTGCTTATCTATCAATTGTGTGATCTTTTAACACAACTAAAACTAAGTTATGAGCATGCCTATGAGATGTTGGAATAAAGCAAATAGAACTGAATACTTGAAAAATGCCATATTAAGATCATTCAATGTTAATGATATAGTGTATGTGAAATCTAAGGTTACATTCCAGCATAGGTTTTCGAAAACTTTTTCTTCTAAAGTAAATGATGTAAATTATGTTATTTGTGCACTTGACAATGATTTTTTCTCAGCCATTTATAGAATTCACATCAGTTGCCTTCGTTTGGCTCCTAAAAGATTCTCCCACACTTCAGTACACTTAATTCTTTTTTTTTTCACTCATTTCTTGTACTATCATAGAACATTATTACAAGTTATGCAATATGTTAAATTGTTCGAAATTTATTGTTATGTGTCTTTTGTTGATTTCTTGATTGTGTGAGCAATAATCATTAGAGTTTAAGGCTTGATCACCCTTAAATATCATTTCGAGATTCAACGACATTGTGCCTAATATATACAAGTGCATAAGTGTTTGATTTCAAAATTTCCTGGTATGATGTGATTATAATGGTTTGTATTGTTTCTTCATCCTGTATGTGATTTATCTAATTAAGTGTAACTGGGGATGTACAAAAATTGCATTTTGCTTTATCATAGAAATACTTCATTTACAATTCTGTACTGTGTACTTGCAATACGGTATATTCGAAAATTTTACGTACCATATTTATATCATGCACTTATATGTATTTTGCATAAAAAGTTGCTTGTATTGAATTATGGAATATTTAAATAAGTGGTTCTATGTTTTAATGTTAAAAATTTTGTTTTTGTGTAGATGGCATGGTTTTGGTGATACCTAAATGAAAAAAATCTTCCCATTTAAAATGTAATCTATGTAATATGTATTTCAGACTGTTAGCTCCATAGTGATTGTCATGATTTTATATGAGGCTGGCACCATGATACCGGAATTTTTATTATGCACATAATTAATTTTTCCTCCTTCCCTCAAAAAGGGGTGAATATCTGATGAGGTCACATTAAATTTATGTCCTTGGAATTATTACAGCCATCTAGAACCAGATAAGGGATTTCATCTGGAGACAATATTTTTGCCGACAGGTTTGTTATAACATGACCAAGCTATGTCATCAGACAACTCATTTCAATTCAGTTTGTCTGCAAAGTGAAAGAATTATTACATTTTGTTTCTTATCTTCTGCATTGTCTGTACTTTTAATTTTATCAAGAATCGAGGAATTTCCCTTTTTTTATTTCGCTATTCTAAATTATGATATGAGTGCCCTTTCTAAATTTATTCTGGTCTTTAATGTATTGATGCAAAATTTAATTAAAAAGTCCTTCTTAAGTGTTTTTACCTTTTTTCTCATGTGAAGACTTTATTCGTTTAAAGCTTTTTGTTTTGGCTTTCTAAGTTTTTATCCTATTAGATGAACCCCTCTTTTGATGGTGATAAATTTTTAATCTTTGATGATGTGGAGACAAAGGCTTCGTGATAAGTGCTCCATAAATTAAAATTCCTTGATATTTTCATTGGTTGGAATGTGTAACTGTGCTAGCTTGTAAATAGTGGGAATTAGTGAATCTCTTAGTCTATTCATTGTTTTTTCGCTTCCCTCTGGATTTCTGCTATGTGCACTCTTCTTGTTTCAAAATGTGTCGTAGTTGGCTTTTTCGTGGTTGGCATTTCTTCGCCCTCTTTTGCAGTTAGCGGAATAAGCCCTACTATATTATGGTGTTAGTACTGGAGATGTTTTATGTACCAAACAAAAAAAAAAAAAAAGTGATGACAACTGCCGTTATTTTCCGAATTTGAGAGACAGCCCCTATACTTTTCTTTCTGGAGTATGTTTGACTTTTTGTCTCCACTTACCGTATGAGAGATGTTGAATGTTGTTAACGAAGGCTGTGAAACTACACTCAGTGCACAGAAATACAAATTTTTTAGGTGCCATGAGAGATTCTACTGTGGCGGACTTCATGCAATCAATATGGAGCAAAGTCTGACGAGAATCGATAAATAAACGATCTTTGAAAATGTATCCAGGACTCTTCTTTTCCTTTTATTGGACAGCTCACCATGACATGGCAAATACCATGATCCTACCTTGGGTAAGCCACTGTACTACTGAAGTAGTCTCTTAACGCTACACACACTTCCTATAGCTCACCCTTGTGTGTAACAATATAAAACAATATTGCTAAGACTGTTTCTGGATTATTTATTTAATTACTGTTACATTTTTATTAAATTTTGTTTATTTAATTGAACTTGTTTCTTTCACTGCGAGTCTTTAATCGTCGAAAAAGAGATATTAAATTGAGAATAAAAAAGTAAATAATTACTGCAAGAGAAAACAGACTTTAGTTTTATATAGTTAATGATATTTCTTAAATACCGGAGCAAGCATGCATTAGGCATTCTGATATTAAAACTGGTAGTTTTGCAACAAATGTAATTAGAGTCTATTAGTAAATGATCAGTTCAACAAATGAAAATAAAAAATAGGGGATCTTTTCCAGTAAAACATAACACATGCAAAGCATTTTTTTTAAAAAAAAGCTACATGTACCAATTTAAAACTTAACAGCGAGAAAATATCATATCATTATAACTGTGATAAAATTTTTCTGAACATAAGAAATTCATCTTTTAGGCTATTGAATGGGATATAATTTTCCTCCTTTGGAAAGAAAAGAGGACATGTACTTTTAAAATAAAAAAGATCTGCATTATATTTTTAGTTAAAATACTGCATTTATTGGTTAGAAGTTAGTTCAAGCAGGACAAAATTAAAGATAGATTGAATTAGTCAATATTTTTTACTCTTTATATTTAATTATGAATAATATAGTTCAGCATAACCAAGCGTTCAGAATACTTAACTGAATTCAAATCCGAATTCTATTTTAAAATCTTTTGAAATCAATTTGAAACATACTTCTCAAATAACAAAGATATGGAAATTTTTAACAGAAAACGATAAAAATATCAAAATCAAAACTGACATCTGATTCATAAAAAAGAATAACTTATTATGATAGTACAGAAAATTTACTGACTGAAGCAAAAAATTCTATAAGCTTCATTAAAATTTCGGCACAGTTTATATCAAGCTGTGTATCTAAGTATTTTACAAAATGAGAGCCGCGAAGAAACTATTCTAATTACATTTAACATATATACAGCAAGTATTATTACTAGTAATATGATTATTTTTCTAAGGGGGAGGGACTGAAAAATAATCATTAAATTAATCATTCATAAAAAGTACTACAAGCCTTACAGCATGAAAGCTGTAAATTTATTTTATAATTTGAGGAATAAAATACAATCATTAGTGAGCAGAATATTATAACGTTGATAATAACGCAATCCATGACATTAAAAACATAAACATTTTTTCATTCGGTAGTAAGCTTCGCCGCCTGGCTACTCAATAAATGTTTACATTTGGAACTACTAAGATGGAACAACAGCGCCATCTAGTGAACGCGACATTTTAGGACCGTTTTTCTACTAGGCAGTTTCACCTCCTTCATTATACTCCGTGCTTATGCCGAACTTCAATTCAACATTTTTCACCATTAAATCTTTCCCCCCAGCTTCTCAGACACAAAGCATGACGGGAACCAACGAACTCCAGCGAAAGATTTTTCAACGTCAACAGGGTTGCCATACAACACGCAATCGCGCCAAAAATCAGCGCAGAACACATATCGCCACATTTGATGAAAATTAGGGCGTATATCAGAGTTGTACCGATGTTACATTGGTGGAACTCTCTGTTCCTATTCCAAGCTCATTTCTTACACAGCAGACTTTTTTAGACAGCTTCTCATACAGTGGTAAAGTAGATGGGATGCTTCCCCTACCGGTAGAAGGACATTTAATTATCCTAAAAAGGTGTCAACAAAATTTCTCTCTTTCTCTTCTGCACTGACTACCTTCTTAACAGGCCACGGACCCTTTCGAACCTATCTCAAGAGATTCGCTAAAACTGAAAACGATACATGTGAAAGTGGTGAACTTGGTTCACCTGATGATTATGGACACTCTAGTCACATGACAGCTCAGTTCCACCTTGCAAGACCTGCAGATGCTCACAGAACTGCCTGGCTCAAGCACCTGATGAGCCTTTCTGGTAACTTAAATAAGTTAATATATATGGATATGCCGAACAAGCACACTTTCGCCACATAAACTGTATATTAGTACATACATAAAAATGAAATAAATTTGAAAAGAAGCAATTTAAAAACTACTGTATTGAAAATTATTAAAAATTTTGTTTTTTACCCTCATTTTTTTTCCGTTATATACATTTACTTCAGTTTTGTTATATGCATTTACTTAATTTTATTTTCTTATATGCATTTACTTAATTTTATTTTGTTATATGCA